AACCTTATTTTTTCAGGCATGTATCTTTTCATTAACAGGAACATCAATTATGAACTTGTGCAAAAATGCAGAGAGCAGAGAAGAATCAGTCTGCCTGGAAGTGTGGAAAGTGAAGGAGCTGTTTACCAATACTAGAATCATTCTAGTGAAGTGTTCTACCAGTTGTGCTTTATGCAGACTGGAGGTTTGTTTGCAAATCTTACCAGGTATTCATTGATGGAAATTTATTTTATTCCTTCCCTGCAATGTATAATAAATTATATCTTTTGAGGGGAAGAGATTTGTAAAGATGAGGGAAGGAAATAGATTTTATTTGAAGGAGGCTGATAAAGTATACTTTGCCAATAATAAAATTTCCTGGTTTTCTTTTTAAAGAGAAAAAGAGGGGAGAGTTTGATCCTTCATTCTTGAGGGATGGAGCGAAGTCTTAAGAAGAACCATTTAAAAATCAAGCCACCAACAATACTGAACTCTGTCTTACACAATACCCCAAATTAATCTGAGATAAACTCACAGAAATGTGCGTAAAAAATCAACAAGAAGTTTCTCAGAGAAGACTTCAGAAAATATCTGTACAACTTTGGAGTGGACAAACATTCCTTAAACAAGACACAATAAGTAATGACCTTAAAAGAATAGATTAATAGATTAATATCATTACACAAAAATTTGTGCTTACTCAAAAGGACATTTACAGAATGAAAAAGTGGAGTAAAGTCTGGAGAAATGGTTGACAGTGCATGGTTATAAAAGTGTTTACATTGTAATTATCAAATATGCATTCAAATGATTAATAGTACCCTTAAAATTGACATAGAACTTTACCTGTAGATTGAGCTCTGGATAGAAATTGAGCTCTTAGGCGAAGCTCATTTGCCTCAGTTAGCTTCATAGGTACCTGGTCAACCTGGAACTACTTTAAATTCCTTGATTCAGAGTTTTTAGGCCACAAAGACAGTAAAGATTTGGACTGGAAACATTTGTCATTTAAAGGCTAGCTTGTAGTTATACACTCTCAGGGATGATTTTATTTTCTTATCACCTAGTGCCAAGATCAAGTCAGCCAAATTTTCCTGCTGTCCCCTCTGTAGGGTGGGTTTATTTCAATCCTTTTTCATGACAATGGGATACAGTCATATATAGAATTTTCAGCGAGCTTTCCTGTGTGCTTTTTCTGTTATTGTATCATTTTTCAGATTCTCTCCTTTTGTGGTAGCCCAATGATCCATTAAAACAAATAATTTTTAGTACAGAACTTGAATGATTTTATTTATAAGGGGTTTGCAAAGTATTTTTTGAGCTGCCAAAACAGAGTTGGGTCTTTGCATGTACTTTATAGTACTTTTATAGAAAGAGAAAATAAAATTGTGCTTATCAGAGGCTGGGAAGTGGGGGGAAAATTGGTAAAGAAAGGATGATTGACAAGGGCAGTGATGTGGTCGACAGGAAGAAAACCTACTATCCAGTAGCAGGTGGGTGGGACAGGACTATACCTGAAAAGAAATGACTTGTGTCTGTCTAAATGGCTAGTAGAATTTTAATTTATTGTACAAATAAAGGAGAAGTGTTTTCTGGATGGATGCACTAAGTACCTTCATCAGCTCTTAATATATTCTATGAAATATCACTTTGTATCTGATACATATGTGCAACTATTTGGTGTCCCCTTCAAAATAAAATATGTTCAGTCTGAATTTGGGCTTATTTTGAATGAACAGCTATATACTATAAGCAGAGGAATATTTAACTAGTAAGATAGAATCTACAACCATGAAAATTAATTGCAATGCATGTTTTTCCACTTTGTGTGTAGCTTTTGTGACATGACAACGAGCCAATTTGAAAATTTGGTAAGTACTAATAAACGGCATTGACTCTAGTTGAATACTAAACAACTGGTTGTAGATAATAATAACTATGACTATAAAATAAATCTAAAATGCTTGTAGAATTGAGCTGGCAAAGAAAATCAAAGATTAGTGTCTTAGATGGATTCTTCATATGTTGTTACATTTACTCATATTTACACTAGAAAAATGATCTAGGCTTTGGATCTACCATTTAGCATTTAATCATTAAAAACTGCATATTTTTTGTTCTTCCTTGAAATTATCAGTTTTCATCCATATAATTTATTTTTTGAGCTACTTACATAATTTTTTTTCTGTAATTTAGGGACGGGTCTACAGGGTGTTGAACTAGATCACTAGATTGGACTTGTAGTGATTCTCCTGTTTACAACTTCCCAAGTGCTGGGATTACAGGTGCATACCACTGTGCCCAGACTCAGTTGCCATCTCAGCATGCCCTGGGGAGAGGGACTGCATGGCAGGATAGGGGATCGAACCCCTACTCCTGCAACTGCTTGAAGATGCTTCAATTTGATGAGCTATTTGGCCAGCCCTACTTACATAATTTTTCAATAAGATTTTTTTCTATAACTTGGATTTACTAATTCTAAGTCACAATGTATCTTTCTTTTATTTTGAACTATTAGAGTTTGTCCACCTACTAGCCTAAGATATTTGAGGTGATTCTGGCATTTAAAATTTTCCTTTTTAGATAGCTAATCAAAGTTTAGCTATCAAACAGAGTTTAGTTTATCAAATGGAGATTTTTTCCCCCACTAGCAAGTATATAATAGTATTAGCTCTATTATTTCAAGATTTTATGCTTAGAGGATTGAGAACTTCCAGTATATATTTTAATATGATAATGAAAGTACATTCACTTTTATCTACAGTTTGAAAAACCTCTAGCTTCTAGTGTCTGGAACACAAATACAACTTTGGTTTTGCTTTAAATATCTTTTTGGATCTTAAATCTTATGAATGTAAGAATAGCTTTCCAGTCCACAATTCTAAATGTTGAAACAAGCTAGATTCCAATGTGAATATAAAAATAGAACTAATATGCAATTTCAGTATACTGCAATAAAATTAAATGGCTATAGATGTTTAGATAAATGCTATCTTGCTATCCCAAAAACCAACTGGAGCTGGACAAAGAGCAAATGGATCATTGGAGAGCCTTAAATAGAATTCAGAGGATATGCAGAGTAACATTTTTATGACAACGATCACAAACTAACGTTAACCCTCGCTTTGCCAAATTTGTTCTGCTTTATCATCAGATAGAATTTGTTCACTTGTTGGTATTCACAGATATTTATATATTTATTTGTTTATTTATTTATTTATTTTTATTTTTCTTCTATAGAACCAGGGATTGAACTCAGGCCCTTGCACTTGCCAGGGAAGAGCTTATTCTATTGAGCTATCTGCCTGGCCCTATTCACAGATATTTAAACAACGTGGTTGAATTTTCAGTTTGCCATCAAGTTCTTGAGTTTTTTGTTGATAAATTTTTAAGCAAACATTGAGAGAACAAGTGATCTGGGGAACAATATAAAGAAAGTACACAAAATATCTTTATTGCTATTATTTCATGTTACAAAATATTAATGAGCTGGAAGAATAAAACAGGTACACTTTTAGTACATTTACACTTAAGATTTTCACATGGCAAAAAGAAAGAGAGAACAAAAAGAACAGTGATGGAAGGAGGGAGGAGAGGAAGGAATGAAGGAAGGAAAGAAGGAAGGAAGGAAGGAAGGAAGGAAAGAAAAAAGGTAGGAAGGAAGATTCTAATAAGTTTTCATGGAGGACTGACAGGACTTCTGTGAAAAATTAACATATCTGCTAAAAAGTATGTAATAAGGAAGTACTGAGTTAGAAGAGAAAACAATATGCACCTTACTCAGTATAAGTAATAAGGAGAAAAGGATGTATGTCCAGTTCTAACCTGTACTTTTATTCTTTTGTAACTTGTGCTTGCCAGTGGGAAACAATATGGCACTTTGGATGTGGACTATGTGAGGAAAACTATCGACACTGACCTTTCCCCTAAAATACAATCACCGTGTTCATTAGTGAGCCACGTCTCCACCTGGAGAGGACCACGTGGGCCAAGTTCAGACGCTGAGTGTAGAAGGCAACTACCCTATGTATACTTCTCATTTCCTACTGTGATCACCCCTCCCTTTAAAGCAGGAACCCAGTGTTAGTTGACAGGCTTTCATTTGTGGTAGTTATCTTTAAAGCAATTTCCCTAACTAACCCAACTAATTTTGTAATTTTCCTCTTTTGTATCTCTTTTTCACTTCTTTTTTTTCTAAGATCATTTAACTTGAGGTTAAAAGAAATATTTCCAATACACTACTGCCAATCAAACAAAATTATCCACTGTGATGGCAGCAGTTCTAGACCATAAAAGACTTTCCAATGTTCGAAATCAAAATATGGAGGCATGGAGATTATTTTCCATTCAGTCATTATTATCTTCCTTGGATTAAATGTTTCAATTTCACTAGATTCCTCAGATCTGTTTCTTTTCAGAGTTTTGTTCAAAAGTTGACTTTTTTATTATTATTATTTTCCCTTTCCAGAACAAACACGATTTCTATTAACCAAGGCTCTCAATTTGGCTGCTTCTGGAGGAGAAGTCTCAGTGGCTGTTTGCACCCCGTAATTTTTCAGAAGGTAGAGAAGCGATATGTGGCTTAAAGAGAGCTTTGAAAACAACAAAGAAACAAAGCTTTCATTTTCTGTGATCCACATGAACATGTCTTTGCAATCAACATATTAGTCTATTTTTTTTTTTTTTAGGAATTAAAAACAAGGAACTCTCAACTTTCCACTGAGGATATGTTCATGGGCTCACTTGATTTTAATATAACATCCCCTGTCCGCCATTCTCTACCACACTGAATGGAAAACTGGATGACTTGTGCCTTCTAATGTTTCATTTGCTCTTTGTGTTTTTTGAGGAACTATTTACTTTATTGAAGCGGTGATTGAAAAAGTGTTTCAGGGTCTAAACGTGTTGCTCTGTTTTGAAGTTTGAACATGATGCTGAGGCTTTCCCTGATCAGGGACTGAACAGATCTTATTTTAATTATTCCTCTCTCCTTTTCTCATTTGTTATTAGGCTCAGTGTCAGTGTGATCTCTCTAAGTAGTACCTCAGTTTTCTCCATAGATTATAGACAATACTCTTGTCTTCATAGTCTGCTGTTTGCCTACCAAATATGTCAAGGACATTTTTGTGGAGCCTTATGAAGCGGGACAAGGAAAGGAGGGTGACATGCAGGACAGAGAGGCCTTTAAAGAATGGTGGTGCAACCCATTGCACTTTTTCATGCTCCATACCATTACTCACCAAGCAAGTATGGCATGATATTTTGTGTTAGATTCCTAAAAGTTCCAGAACATAAATAAGGTAGAATAGCAGAATGGTATAGACTCAGAGCCAAAAAGTCTGTTGGAATCTGACTTTGAGACTTTGGGAAATAATTTATTCTTATTGTATCACAGTGGTTTAGAACAAAGTAACCCTTTAAACTCTCATGTACTCAAAGTCCAGACTATTGGAAGGTGGCTCAACATGGGGGCCCGATTGCTGAATGTGAAGTTAGGAGGTGGGCCTTGTTGGAGGGATAGGTCACTGGACACATGTCTCTCTCTGGCTTCTTTCTTTTCTGCTTCTTTATAGCTTTACTCTGCCTAAGTCTTTCCATGATGCTGTCTCTGCTTTGGAGCCTGAAACCATGATGCTAAGAGCCAAAGTAGCTATTTTCTCCATTAAGGGATAGGTGCCAGGTGTTATGGCTAAGCAGCGAGAAGGTGACCAAGATGTGCAGTTTTCTCATCTATAAATTAGTGATGAAAAGACCTTGTAAGGTTGAAATGGCTAATGAAGTTAGTATTTATGAAGAACTAAAACAGTGTCTGACTCATAGGAATTCCTTAAGAAATGTTGGCTGCTTGTCTGCTCTTTGCTCTTGTAGAAAGTAGCATCCTCCTGAACAGATCTGCCAGTTTTACAGTACAACTTAAGTAAACACTAGTTGGAAAACTGTCTCAGCATCTATTATTCTCTTCTGCCTGCTATATTTTTTAATTATAATGATTTTAATGCCATCCATAGAACATAATCTCAACTTAGAAAATGCTTGCAGTGCATGAATTCAATTATAGGTCACAGTTACATAGTGAAATATCAATTTACACACAGCAGAATACATCTTCTTTTCTTTACTTTCTTTGGTTCATGTTAATGAGATAAGGATAGTTAATATTATCACTATCTACCACTGAAATAATTTTACCAGGGCCAGCAAGATAGCTCTGAAGACTAAGCACTTGTTTAAGCAAACACAGGGACTGAGGTTTGATCCCTGCCACTACATGCCACATTGGCTCCACCTCCACATGCACTGAGCTGGGCACCACCAAGCATGGTGGCACATGCCTGTAATCCCAGTGCTGGGGAGGCTGAGAACAGGATGATCATTATGAGTCTAAGCTGCAGAGTGAGACCCTGTACCAAATACATTTTTAAAAAAGAATAATTTGACCAGACAAGGAAATTTTACATCAATAACTACCTGCCTCTGTCTTATAGGAACGTGA